ATTTTGAATGCAAGTTGGGCGATTGTCTGTCTTTGTATCAGTTCAGCTGAACTTCCCTTGTTTATTGTTTTCTATTCCCATTCCTACGTACAAACTGTAGTCCAACTGATATATTTTGCTGGAAATAACTATTGGTATCTTCAAATCATCCCGCTTCAAAATCCCCGAACAGATTTCAAATAGTTAAGTCCAAATGGACATTGGACAGTCCGTGGTATGATATAGGCTATAGTATGTTGTTTATTTATTTATTTTTTTTTTTTTTTATGGAAATAACACTTGTGTCTTGAGTAATTTTAGTACTTTGATTTTTCTTCTCATTTAATGCTTACTAAAAACGTGAGCTTTATCATCAATGCCCTTTTTTCTGAAATTGACATGTGAAAAAAAGAGATCCCAGAGGCATTTTGCGCCCATCATAGAATCATCTACGTCAGTCCTATGACCGATCCGCGATAGCTAAGTCGGTTTGAGCGTTGGTCGCTGACGGTGGCGGTTTGTGTTTCTCGGGAAGCCGAGATATGACCAGTCTGTGCTGTCATTGGTTGTGTCCTTGGACAAGACACTTTATCCTGATTGTTTTGGATGACATGCGGCAGGTCTCCCGTATGTTGTTCAGTAAGGTAGTCACCAACTACTACAAGGAGGCCCCGCCTCAAAATGACCCTGGCTGTTCAAGGGGCGATAAACACAATCAAACAAACTATTACTGAGCCGTCCCCTGCTCCCCTAATCTTCTTTTTGCATTCTTTTAAGCATTCAATAACATTAGAATAACATGGACAAGAAGTATGTGAGAAGGTCTAAGATCTTTCTTAGATAAATGTATGTCAGTGATATTCTTTGATGTCATAAACCAGTACAACCATAGAGTACAACTAAGGACCAGGGGAACTATCAAATGAAAAGATTTCTTGTCGAAATTCAAGATGGTCACTTGTCGGCAAATCTAACTACGACTGGTTCAAAAATGGAGCCTGTGCAACGTACGAATAACAGGAGCAACCGTATGATATTTGAGAAGGATCCTTGTAGTACTTTCCGAGAAAGAGCGGTAACAGGAATGTTTACGGACGGACAGACAGAACAAGAATCACGGACGTAGGATCAATTTCACCACCTCATGATGGTGGACTAGAAATCCGATTAAGTTAGTGAAAAAAATACTGGAAAATAAAGAACAGAACCCGTTCAAGTTGGTCATGTTGCAAATTCTTCCCCTAACGGATCCGTCTAGGTATCATATGTTGAACGTACACAATAATAATTTATACCTGCATGATAATAATTTGTAAGTAAAACAAAAATAGTACACGTACATACAAGATATTAAGTTGTACAAGATGAACTTATTTTTGTAATGGCCTTAATACGCATTTTTCACAGATCAAATCAAAAGGTCACTGCGCAGGGGTCATGTAACATAAAATATGGGGTACCTCAGGGGAGTTTGTTAGGTCCTCTTCTGTTCTTGATATATGTCAATGATATGCAAGTCAGCATTGATTCTAACTGCATGTTGATGTTGTATGCAGACGATTCTGCTATACTTTCCCATCTAAACCTAGCAGTAATATCGCAAAAAATGTCTTTGGTGTTGGAATCTTGTCAAGAACGTTTAATGTATAACAAGCTCTCTCTACATTTAGATAAAACAGAAAGTATTATTTCTGGCCCCAAAAGAAATCTGGATAAAGCTACAAATATGAAATTCAAAATAGTGAAATAATCACGACATTTAAGCTATGAAGTGTATAAAATATCTTTTTATAGACGTTAACGATTTGCTATCAGGTGAAGAAAAAATAGATTCAACTGTTAAAAAAGTAAATCATCGACTAAAATTTCTCTACAGAAATGAGCAATGTCTATCGTATAAGTCGAGAAAAACGCTTTGCGCGGCATTGATTTTTTATCATTTGGACTATTCCTGTGCTGGTTGGTATGAAGGGTTGTGAAAAAATATTTTGAAAAATAAATTACAGGTAGCAGAAAACAAAGTACAGTAATAAGATTTATTTTGAATGTTCAAAATAGGCACAGTATAAAATGCAGTTATTTTTGCGTACAAACATGCTAGACATTAATTATAGGATTTGTTAAATCTACGAAAGTACTTGAAAAACACGCTTTAGTAAAAGGAAAAATATCTTTTCCTATCGCGTACCCACGCGGTAGCTATCGCGTACCCATGCAATAAATATCGCGTATAAACGCGATAACTTTCGTACATATAGTTATCGCGTGCAATAGCTACCGCGTGGGGACGCGATAGGGAAAGATATTTTTTCCTTTTATTATCGCGTACGTACGCGATAGAAAAAATATATCATTTCATTGTACTATTGTACTAATCAGAATGAATCATATGTTTCATGTTTTCCATGAAAAGGCTCCAAACTACATGTATAATTTAACAAGAATCCATGTCTTCAAAATACCCTGTAATCAGCATATAATTTCATTTTCCCATCAGTACAAGGTAAAGAATCTACAACTTTCTATTTTACCGGCGCAAAAGAATGGAATTTTCTTCCAGGTTATATTAAAAGTACATCAAACAAGCTTAAGTTCAAAATCCGAGTGAAACGTAACTTTCAAAACAAAACGCAAGAGAATCATGATAGTTGTTATGTATATTATTGAGGGAAATGTATTTGTAAATCCATTTTAGGGACCCCAATAGAAATGCGCGTTTAACGCGTTTTTTGGGAAATCCTACTATATGTACTTTTGTCTTTGTTAATAATTATGACTAGCTGTTACATTAAAGATGTAATTAACTTATTCATGATTATGTATAATATGTTATATGTGCCATATATTCACAGGATTTGTATACAATTAAGCATTGAACCGTTTTTATATGGCATTTATGGTGGATATAAATGACAGAGATTTGCAGGCAAACATATCATATTGCGCATTTATATCAGCCATCGGGGTCCCCCAAGTGGAGACTAGCCTCTCTCCTGTTAGGCCTTCAGGAACCGATACATACTGACGAGAAAGGTGGTCGTATTTATACTAGCCATGCTAATTAACTGATGAAGTACTATTACACATCAGCTTACTGGTAAACATGGATTGAAGTATACATGAGTTATTGACATGGTCTTGCACACATAAATGGCAACAGATTCGGCTGTTTACAACAAGATAAGGTTACACTGACCATCATACAAACTGCTTAGATAGGCTTCAGGTAATGACTTATATAATCAGGGAACGAACTAATACATGAACATGTGTAGTAGATCAGTAACGAGAAAATACCTCTGGCCACTGGTCAATACATAATTGTTCGCAGTAGATGTCAGTACTAAATTAACACAGGCAGATACATTATGATGAAACATCTGACTTATGTCTAGCACAATTTTGAATATTTTAATCTTACAAATTAACTTTTAATAGTTCACTATGCCAAAATAATGACGTCACAATCATCACGCGGCGGATGGCAATTATACTTTCATAGACGAAATGTCTTCTTGGTTACTTTATATAATGGCTTTGCCATGCAGTTGTTAATATATCTGTACATGTTTATCCCAAATAAATTTATTATTTTATTATTATAACTATAAAATTAAGTGACCAGTGATCAGTGAAAAAGGCGACATGTACTAGGCAATATACGCATGCTTGCCTCAGTTTCATGAACCTTCCTTAACGTAGAGAAATCTTAACTCCCATGGCAAAGCATTATAATTAATCTTCCTTAAATTTAAGATTTTCCTTAACTTTTGTAATGCTTTTATATGGGAGTTGAGATTTCCTTAAGTTAAGGAAGATTCGTGAAACTGGGGCCTTATTTCGTAGCAGGCGCCTACTTAGTGTGTATTTTTGGAGCCCTTTTTAATTTACTCTGAATTTTGATATCCGCTTGTGAATAAGCCTGTCGGAAGCCCCCCTGTCCATAGACGTCGGTATGCACGTGGTCAGTACGTAGACTCGGTGTCCGCCTGGTGGTACCAAAATTGCATTTTAGAAAATTATGCAATAGGCCCAATATGTTACGGCCATCTAAAAGATATGTACAGTGGTCATTTGTCTCAATTCTTCACGGTATACCCAATTAATTAAAATTGAAATTAAATCCGATGTACGCCGAGTCGATCGTCGGTGACCAGATAGCTCAAATGACCGAGTGTCCGTCTAGAGGTCGAAATGTCCCAGGTTCGAACCCCGGCCAGGTTATGTAATTTATCTCTCATGTTACATCTTATATTTTGGAAAATTGATATACTTTCAAATAGTTTTGTACTGGAAAGCATTGATCCATGCTATCAATTGCAAAGTTATTGGTGGTTTGGTAGACTTAGATATACATGTAGGTCAGTAGACAGTAAGCGGTATAGGCAGTGAGCAGTTATCAGTGAGCAGTGAGATAAGAGAGCGCGGGAAGCAATAGGCATAGAAAATAGAGAAATTTAGGGTACCTAGATAGGGTTCCTACCCTGTATTCTGAAGGCCCGATATTTCGAAGGCAAGATCACTCTGAAGGCCCGATAGTCCGAAGGCACGATAGTCTGAAGACCCGATAGTTCAAAAGCCAAAAGTCCAAGGCCTGATGGTCCTAACCTTGTCATATCCATAGCATATGATATAGAACAAGTTTCATTACAGGGGCATTAAAGTTTAGGGTGTCAAAATAAAATCATTCGGGAAATGTGTATTTTATTGCAATACGGATGCAGAAGTCCAGAGAAAACCTATTTTTATTCCATATGAAAACTCATTAAATTTACAATTCGGTCAAAAGTCACCACTTATCACCGCAAAGAATGACTCGTGTGTCGTATACATGCAGAATTCCATATAGTAACAGCTACCAGAAATAGAAAAAAAATGTCATGTGATTATGTTTTTTCCCCAAGTCACGTGATCTGTAGTACAAAATGGCAGACACGATAGCATTGCTTCAGTCTTTCAATATTCTTGTACTCCTGCTTATTTTATTTCTGTGTGTGGCTCTCCTAGTGACAGTTTCCAGATGTTTCAATAGATGGAATGGATTTTTTCTTGATTGGAATAACATAATATTCAATAATCAACATGATGGTATGTTCAGAACCTAGCTACATGTATTCTATGACAGTATATTTAGACAAATTCTGAATGATTGCGTGCTTATTCACCTTCACAGTTATGACATGCTTAAAGCAGTGCAATTGTTTGTTCAATAATTAGTTGTGGGAGTGAGTGGGGGGTGGGGGGTGGGGGGTGGGGGGACATGCAATTTAATGACAGTACTTATCATCGATATAACTAGTCACTTGTTTTCTTAAAGTTACCAAAGGTCATTATTGGCTATTTATTTTATTAGGAAGAAGATCATAGTTTGGTCAAGAAAATGTGCAAACAATTGTGTAAGTATTATTACCACTCACTGTTTTAACATGGGCACTTCATTACCGGTATCTGTCATATTGTATATCGGATGATGATTTATGAGAGTGGAAACTCATATTTCATGGAGTAATGTTTTAATGAATCTTGAGTATTGTTTGGGAATTAATGTGTATGTAATGCAAACATTCACATGAATGTGAATATTCTGAGTGTTCGTGGTAGCTGTTGAAAGCACTTCAGAAGGTTTGTCAACAGTTTACTTCTCTTTAAACATTTTGAAATAAACACTTTGTTTGTAATATTAACATTGTATGTCTTGCAAATTAACACATGTTCTTCTTACAATATATGGTCACAGGCAAAGTCACACTAGATTCATGAATATGAACATGAACCATCTTTTTTCAGTAAGATAGCCTTCATGAATTCTGATAAAGAGTGTGTAATGTCTCAGAATGTCACACAGATTTAAGCCAAGGGACCTCTCACTGTTACATATTTCTTAGTCATTTAAATGTTTGAATTGATGACCTTATTATGAAGCAGTCAGGTCAGATAGACTGTTAAGACCATGACATTTCCAGCTGGTTTTGCCTATTTCTTTCATGAATTTGAGTTCAGTCAAAGTGTTGCCTACTGTGATGATAACTATATGGATATCTTAGACTTGGATAACTCAAACACAATATTAGTGTTCTCAACCTATAGTGACCTTGAATTATGTAAACTTTTCTGTGAATGGAATGCCTTTTCTGTAGTGTTTTACACAATTGCAGAAATGCTTTTGTGAATTTCACAGAAAACAATCCTGGGTAAGCTATATTTTCTAAGCAACATGAAATTATCAATCTTTTTATGGCTGCTTTAATATAGTTTAAATCTTAAATTTGCCTGTTTTTCCTTTTTGCAGCTACATGTATGGTTAAAATAAAAGGCAGACGTGTGTGCTGAAAGCAAATTTTTACTTTATGCAAGAATGAAAGAAATATATGTACTGGGTAAAGATATCTCCAAGAATTAAGTTGTCAAATATACCAGACAAAGAGAATGCTTATAATCATAAAATGTAATGTAGAATGCAAACTATACACTAAAAATCTGACTTTACATGTTTTGTTATGTTATTTTCAGTCTGTAGGTCTTCAGGAAGAAGTAATCCATATAAAGGGATAGAAAGGCCCAATGTTCCTTGATCTGATATCTAGTATTTTTATCTAATAACACAACTGTTAGTGATTATGCATTTGAGCAAACATAGAAAGTACATTTTGCTATTGATACCTTTTAGTATCTACTAAGCATACTTCAACTTTCAACATAACCAGGAGATGCTCAGCCCCACTTAATTCTAATTAAAATGAAATAAGTTGTCTTGTAGTCTTGTTGAAGTTGTAGATGTAGATGTAATGAAGAAGTCCACGGCAATGTAGAGCGTTGGTGTAGTTTATTCGTGTTGTGTGTGGGGACACGACTGAGGTTTGTCCCGAGAATCGACAGCATGGCTTAGTTACCAGGTTTTTTTTTATACATATAAGTTACCTAACCAGAGGTACATAAGTTCAGGTTAGCTCTCCTGTATCAGTCATCTTCTGACAAACATGTTAATGAATCTACATGTTCACAGCATATAATGGTGCTGACCTCAGCAAATACATACATTGAATTCAGCAAGACCTAATCAGTTACATAAGAAATAGTGTAATATACAGATCTGCTTTCTTGCCTAATGATATACAGTAAGATACAGATGCTTTGATACAGTACTAGATGTGGTTTTCACAAACCGTGCTTTTAATTTTGTATATGATTCGCCTTTAATAAGTTTATATTCAGTTTTATAATGGTTCATAATGTAAATGCATAATGTATACCAATAAATGCTATCAAGTTTTCTATAAGAACTTATTGAAACTAATATGTACATTTATTGAAAAATCACTACTAATCAAAGTGTTGATAGTACTGAGGACACAAACAACAGAAAACCTAACATCCGACATGCACATGGCTTTCTTTTTTTAGGCCACCATCATGTGATGGTGGGCTATTCAAATCACCCTGCATCCGAAGCCCGTCCATCCCTCTGTCGTTTGTCCTACATCCATAAACAATTCTTTTTATCACTATTTCTCAGAAAATACCCAAGGGATCTTTCTCAATGTTCATATGTAGCTTCTCCTTGGTCTTGTACTTTTTTATGCTGATCTGAAAAATAATATGGCTGACAGGTGGCCATCTTGAAATTTGACAGTAATACTTCGTTATGACTATTTCTCAGAAAGTACCTGAGGGAGCATTCTCAACTTTTATATGTAGGTTCCCCTTGGGCTGTAGTTGTGCATTGTACCTCTTTTGGACTGATCCAAAAACAATATGGCCGACAGGTGGCCATCTTAGGTTTTGATATTAATAATTTGTTATCACTAATTCTCAGAAATTACCAGAGGGATCTTTCTCAAATATCATATGTAGGTTCCCCTGACTCTAAGTTGTGCAATGTACCTTATTTGGACTGATCTGGAAAAACTTTATGACCAACTAGCGGCTTTGGTATGACTTGACATGCTTTCCAGTAAATTATCACAAAATGTGTTTACCTCCCACTGGTAATTATTCTTATTTGGGGTTTGAACTTAATCATAATCCAGACTTCATTTTTATTCAGAAGATGAAGCACTGTGGAACCGAGATGAGAGCACTTCTTTTTATCCTCAGATCTGATCTACGAGTAACCACTTGGAACACGTAGCGACATTTGTTCGAACTAGTAAACTGAGGGGCAAAGGTAAGTATACTTGCGAAAAATATATTTCTTTTCAAAATTGAATGAAAGATTGGCATAATCTATAAACATGATAACCCTGACACAAAAACATATTCTGAAATGAAAACAAACGAAAAATCATCCAAGGGTAAAAACGTCTAACCGGATGTTGCTGTTTTTCTAACTTTGCATGTGCAGTGCACGCTATCGGTGTGTATTGTGTTACCTGCGCTTACATCTGTACTAGGGACGTACCCTGAGAATTCGCCATTGAAAATTGACAAATACAGATATGCCACGACTAACAGAGGAAACAGGAAAGATCCGTGTCAACATCAGACAAACTTCCGCCAGTGAGGACAAATACATCCGTCTTTGTCATCTCAGGGATCGTTATTTGACGCCGACGTCATGATGTTATTTTGGGAATCGTGTCCGTCAATGTACGTCAACGTCTTCAATGGGCTCGCTAACGTCAATTTCAACACCAACAAGTCTAAAATCGTGTAGTTTTCACAGACGAATCGAGATTTTTATCTCAGCATGAGCGATGGACGCTGTAGAATATGGCGACGTCGGGGAGAACGTTTTCACGATAACTGTGTACAACAGTTCAGCCGTTGGGGAGGGGGAAGTGTTATGGTGTGGGGAGGAAATAGACATAATGACAAAACAGATCTGATCACGATTCCGGGGAATCCTACTGCAGCAAGGAACTGCGCTGAGTTACTGAACCGAGAGGTTTTACCATATTTCAGATGTCATGGCCCAAATTTGATGTTAATGCATGACAACGCCACCCCTCATACTGTACGGGCAACAGAAAACTTTCTGATGACCATTAACATTAATATGTTGCCTCTGCCATCAAAATTCTCTAATCTAAATCTGATAGAGCACAAATGGGATTTCTTAAACCGCTGTGTACGTCGACGCCGAAACCCACCAACGACTTTGGCTGGACTTGAGCAGGCTCGCCACGAGGAATGGCGGATCATTCCTAGGAACACAAACCTACGGCTTACCAGTACCATGAGGAGAAGAATCAGCGCCGTGATTAACGCAAATGGTGGTCACACGTGATATTAAATATACTTTGTGTTGGACCCTTCCATTAATGACCCCCTCACCACATTGTCAAGTAACTGACGTCAGTGTTTTCTTGTCTGGGTCGTAACTGCTAAACCGTAGAAGATATCTTGATCAAACTTGGTTGGTAGGTAGTTGCATAATCTAAAGCAGATGTGCAGAGCATTGCCAATAGGTCAATGTGACATTCATCTTGAGGTCAAACGTCAAAAAAAGATTTTTTTTTCAACAGTTTCTTGAACTGCTAAACATTGGGGAAAAAGTTTCTTGTTTAGGTCATAACTGCTACATGTAAACCATACAAGGTATTTTGACCATACTTGGCATTAAGTTTCATGCACTGCCAATAGGTCAGCATGACTTTGACCTCTAGGTCAAAAAAAAATATAAAATTATATAAACCTTCCTCCAACGGGTGCAAGACTTAACAGACAAGTGAGGAACAGTGTTACAAAATCATCATAACCACTCGCACAGCTAATCGGGACTTGTCGGAACCGTACTAGTGTTTGTACACACTTGATATCACATTTAGTCGAGAAAAAAAATCACAAATGCCAACGGTCCTCGCGAACTACCGGTACTGGAATCAGATTCAATCAGTAAACGTATTGACTGTGACTGAGAGCCCTGTTGATTACTTATTGTAACATACAGTACATGCCTTGAGCACACCCTTGGCCGGCCAATAAAAACACAGACAAGGCAGACACAGGGACACCATTGCCATACATGTCCATCATTCAGAACAGTGTGATTTGCTACACGACGCACACGGGTCCGTCTAACACATATAGTCCGAGTCCTGCACATCCTTTCGGCAATTATGGAACATGCCCTTGACACAACATAACCAGGTAGATGTATTCACCACAGTGTCTGCACTAATCTGGCATTTGTCCCCAAATAGCCACCTAGAAGGGAGCCCGCATGGTTCTGTGCATGCACAGCACTTACATTTTCTGCATTTGCAAAAAAAATAATGGAGTCATCGTCCTCCTCGATCAATGGGTCCTTCTTTAGCGGAGGAGATATAGACACAGGTGGCTGTGATCTCATATAGATATTATATAAATTCTCTGCATGCTGCAGTGATCATATCATTTTAATATGACGAATACAAGTCCAAGTCACCAAGTGTTGTTACTTATACAAAGAGAAAAA